TTTATATTGATTATAGTAAAGATTTAAAAGCCTTTCCAGCCAGTAAAGATTTGAAAGCCTTTCCAGCTAGTAAAGATTTGAAAGCCTTTCCAGCTAGTAAAGATTTGAAAGCCATTCAGTCAGTAAAGATTTGAAAGCCATTCAAGCCCAGCCTTTCCAGCCCAGCCTTTCCCTTCTCCATTCCAAGCGATTCCAAGCCTTCTTTTCTAGGATCTAAAACCACTCAAAATCCATCCTAGTCTAAAACAGATGGATGGATAAATGGACCGGGAGATGAAGGAAAGAGGAAAGGGGATGAATAAAGCATCGTTCATGTTATGCTGGACTGGGGGGTTGATTCGCCTCTCCGAGTCAGTGTCGATGCGCGCTTTAGAGCGCTCAGGCGTAGAGAGTCAACCTTATAGGGAAATATATAGAGAATTGACAAATCAGAAGACAAACATTTACTAGTTGCTAGAAAGTTTCAAAATAGCGGTACCCTAAAAGGGATTCATTGCAAGCACAAATACTGTAGCAATTTCATAAAGGAACTTGCTAGGTTTCTGGCAACAGTTTAATTGCAAAAGACTTCACTGACAAAGACTGTGCTTGAAACGGTGGTGAGTCGAGGAAAGATTGACATCTTTTCCTCCACCCATTCCCCTAAAGCATTATCGTAATAGGAGAAGCGACACCCAATCGGAGACCTCTTCCCCTCTTCCTCTCCGCTTTCATTTCCCCAGCTTCTCTTTTCCAAAAAGAGACAAAGCATAATAGAGAAGCGATAGAGATGGATGAATGGGTGAACAAGCTCACCGAGGGGTAAACCTTTCACCAAACATACATACACTTCATCCCTCCATCAACTCTAATGCTCTTAAAGGAATGGAAGAAAAGGCAACATTAAAGCTTTTAGTCTCACTAATATGAAACAATATTTTTAAAGAGAGTTTATTGTGATTGTCTTTTGATATTTTTTGAGTTGATAGTTGATAATCTTTCAAGAATTGTTTAATTCTTTTCTAAGTAACTAGCTGAATGCCAAGAAGATTATCTTTTCATTTTACTGCATTCTATTAGTACTAACCTTATCCAATTTTCTCCACATTCATTTCAATATAAAGTAAAGCAACAAAACGACTAAAAAACCTGAAATCCGACCCTTTTCAATTTCTTTTTCTTATTCTCATCTTCTCAAATACATTCGTATTCTATAGGGAGTGGGTTTTAACCAATCCCCGAGAGATCTGATGAAGAAAAAGGAGGCTAACGAACCCTTTTAGGAAAGGGGATAGATTGAAGAAAGAAAAGAAGAACAGCAATGAGATCATTCATGTAAAAAGATCCTTAATCATTTAGTGAAAAAAAAAAAACATAAAAAAAAGGAGAATCTAGTTGGGTTTAGAACAAATTTCCTTTCAAAGCAACACACTTTTCTGGATAGATCTATTCTAGAAATGAAAGCTTTCAACACCTATACCCATTACCATTTTTGGATGTAGTTATTACAAGATTCACTCGACAACATAAACAAACAATTTCGGTTCATTTCCCTGTTCATTTGCGCTTTTCAGTCGTCATTCAGTGGATTAGGATGAGAAAATAGGGAGAAGTTTCTTTGAAAAAGGAAATCTTTTCCTCCTGTTTCGGTTTATAGTTTTTAATAGAACTAATCCAATGATAGGGAAAAGATCTTTCAAGAAAAACATAAATAAAACATTGAATGGCTTATGGAAAGATGAGTGATTGAAGGGAAAGTTAGTACAAGGGAAAGATGGATGGTATTGGAAGCTAGAGTACTTAGTGGAAGCTAGAGTAATCCAAGGTTTTCTAAAACTTTATTGTAATCCCTTGGTGCCACGTACACTAGATTCCGTGTGTTTACATAGTCATTGATAGAGCTGATAGAGCTGGTAGAGCTGATAGAGCTGGTAGAGCTGGTAGAGCTGATAGAGCTGGTAGAGCTGATAGAGCTGATAGAGCTGATAGAGCTGATAGAGCTGGTAGAGCTGATAGAGCTGATAGAGCTGGTAGAGCTGATAGAGGCTGGTAGAGCTGATAGAGCTGATAGAGCTGGCAGAGCTGATAGGGGTGGTAGAGCTGATAGGGGTGGTAGAGCTGATAGGGGTGGTAGAGCTGATAGAGCTGGTAGAGCTGATAGAGCTGATAAAACTTACAGCTTTTATCTACATTTCTTTGCTAACCATTGCCAATATTTATTGACCCAAACATATCAAACAAAAAATCAGAAAATGGCAATTGATGAATAACAAAGACTCTGGAAAACGAGAAAACATTTCCACAGGAGATGGGGATTTAGTTTTTTTCGAGTTTTGACGGAGATGAATCAACCCTTTTTTTCCTTTTTCTTTTAATCGATGATTCTCCCACGTTCACCCCTCATTCAACCCCACTTTCATCCGGATTTTCAAAGAGCCAAGCCGAGTTCTCGAGAAGAAATGCCGACCCTTTTACCCTTTGGCCTTTTTACTTAAGTGCACTTTTTGTGATATCTCTTCATTTCAAATCATCTGATCTTCTTCTAACCCTTAGCTCAAGTGAAACTTCCTCCTATCAATCCCTTTTGTAATCGCCTTTCTCTTCCCCCTATTGTCAAGCAAATGGTAGCTATTTCTAGAGCAATACATGAAGTGCTTAACAGGGTTTCTTTTCCTTTTCCAAGACTAGCTGTGAGTTGTTCTCTCGAGAGATCGTTGGAGAGAACAGGCAATCATTCCGCTTTCCTTTCATCTTTCATAGCTTTTCTTTTCTTTTCCTATCGTATCAGGGGAAGGCTCGACTGCTGATCCCCTCTCGACGAGAGTGACTTCGTTGAGATGCTTTGGTGGAAAAGACACCACCGACACAGAGGATTGAAAGCACATGGTAGTAGGAGAATGGGGAAATTAGTGATCTAGTGATCTTTAAATAAATGACAATTCGAAAGCGATCATTTCGAATCGGCATCAATCGTTTAGTGGTGTGTAAATGGAGTCGAGGGGCACACATTGACACACGTTTGGCACCCCCTTGGATGGACCCTCAAGGCTCCTTACAAATAGCCTCTTCCCATCTCTCATTTCGGTCGATCGTTTGCTTGCTCACTTGCTTCTCTCACTCACTTTCTCAATTTTCACACCCACCTGTGAACAAATGGTTTATCGCCCGAAGATATGCGGAGATTTTAACACAAAGAGATGGAATGAGGGCTTATTTGACAAAGAAAAAGTTGTTTAATCGGCAAATTTCGAGTATTCTAGACTTGTTTGAGTATCAGTTTTGATTCGAATGAGTCTGAGTTACCCAGAATATCAGTTTGATTCGAATGAGCCTGTACTATCCAAAGCCAAAGCTATATTGCAATTTGTTAAGTCTAGCCGAGAGTATCAAGTCAGTACTCATCAGTAGTCTGTCTTAGCTTGTCTGATTGAAGAAATTAACGTCATATATCTCTTGAAGCCTTAGCCATTTAAATCTCACAGAATAATTTCAACCTCATCCAAGAAACCAGGTTCTTTTCAGCTACCATATCCATTTCTCGAGTGTGTTTCTTGTCTCCGCCTATGCATTCTCTATTTCTCTAGACCTAGTGGTAATGGGAGAAATAGAGGAAAGAGAAGAAGGGGGAGGGGAAGGGATGGAGGAGTGATGGGGATTGGTGGAATAGGGGAAACCCCGCCCCCATGTGTGTCCCCTGTGTGCCCCTCCACAAATGGATCACTTCCCCTATCATGACACATCGTTTACCATCGCATCCATCATATCCTGTCCATATCGAGATTTCCTGTTTGGATTGATGTCTGGGTTTTGAAAGGGATTTGTTTATCTCGTTGTCTTCATTTCACACCTCTTCACCTCAGTTCATTCTTGCAGTCGTTTAGCTTAGCTTAGCTAAACTTAGCTAAGTTTAGCTCAAGCTTCATATCTGATCATATCTCATCAAGCTTTAAAACCTAGCTTTAGTTCTTATACTTTTAACTCATCTAGTCCATTCATCTATTCTAAATCGATCTTATCAATTTCCCCTTTCCAATTCAAATCATTTACTCATCTCATTCTCACCTCATCCCCAGTTTTTCATCTCATACATATCTTTTTTCTTTCTTTCTTTCTTTCTTTCTTTTATTCTTTTAATACTTTTTTTCTGCTTCACTTCCATTTTTTAATTACTTCTTATAGTCGAAGCAGATTTTTTTGCGAAATGAAACCATATCCGAGGATTGGAGAAAAGAGAGAAATCCTGGACTTGAAAATTCTGCTAAAACCACACTGTTTTCAAATGTTTTAATCAAATGAGCTTCTGAATCTTGAGACATTTAATCAAATGAGCTTTTAAATGATAATCTAAAGAAAAAATAGTGTTGAATGTGCTCGGTTTTGTGTTTTAAATGGTCACACTTGCAATAGTCTATTCACTTTAAACAATCTACAAAAACTTTTATCTTTTTTTAAAGCAATAAAAGCTGTTTATGTAAGTACAGCCTCAAAATGACAACTATTATTTACTTTTCCGAGCTCATTCATACATTCAATCCATCACATACAAATCTCTGATCTGTGCTCGGGATTAAGCTCAGTTGTTGGGGGCTGAAAATTTCACAAAATCCCTTCAAGTAATCGTATATTTCGTCGACAAATCCTCAATGAGTAAGCTCATAAGGAAGTGAGGAAAATGATTTTTCTGAAATCAAGCATTTCCTCATAAATAAATCAGTTTTTTGTCAATTTCATGTTATATTTTTCAAAATCCTTTGTTTTCCTTCGATCACATTATTTTCTCAAATGTTCATCGTGTTTATTCCAAAAGATTTCTGATTTCAAAAGCTTTTTATCGATTTCGATGTACTATACACAATTCTAAATTCTTAAATTCTAAATTCTAAATTCTAAACTCAAAATTCTAAAGCTAAATTCTAGATTATTCTGTGCTCTAAACAATTAGAATTCTCCCGTTAAAAATTCGATTTCAACGCGCAATTGATAGTGAAGAGGAAAGAGAGGAGGCGGCACAAAAGTCGGCCATGTTTCCGCCAACTGGCACAATGACACCTGAAGTCCTGCAGAAGTTATGGTTACAGGTTTGTTTTTCGGGAAAATTTCTGTAAAAATCTATGTTTAGCTTATTTCTAAAACATGTATTTGATGATTTTATGTAAAAAAAATTTCTAGATGGCGCTCAATCTGCAGTCGGGAGGAGCGGCCGGTCTCCCGGGAATGCCCACAACTCCCACGACTGTTGCAGGTTCGGAATTTTTAAGTAAAAGCTTCAAATTTTTATATAAAAATGAGATATACTTTGTATAGCTTTTTAGCTTTTTAAAAAATCGTTTTGATTGGGTTTTTAATTGTCAAGTTAGCTAGAGCTGTATTTCTCTTTTGCATGATCTCTTTTGCATGATCGACTTCCAGCTTTTAGTAATAAATCCCTTCAAAATTAAGACTTCAGTTCTCAAGTTTAACCGTACTTTCGTACTTTCGTACTTTTCAATCTTTCCAGTAGTTCTTTTAACACTTCGTATTCTCTTTTGTGTAATGTTTTTTCATGAGAATCGGGTGATTGGATAGGAAATGGAGGTTGTTTGTGTGTCCCCCAGGCTTCCTAAAACCATCACCCTTCACCCGAGATACGAAATGTGTCATCACACGCGCTTCTCTCCAATCTTTTTACCATCTGAATGAATAGGGGAATTGTCAGACTCCTTTTAGATAAGGTTAAGCTAAAAAGATAATACTTTAGTTTGATCAAAAAGCATTTAAAGTAAAACTTTGAGTTTTCAAATGACTTCAAATGACTTCAAATGTTTAAAGTCAATAAATACCAGTTTTTTCTCGACTTTTCAGCAATCAATATCTTCTTTGGAGTATTTTGCATGATCTCTTTGATCTCAACTTCCAGCTTATAGTAATAAATCCCTTCAAAAATTGATCTCAACTTAAACTTGAGAACTGAAGTCTTATCTTACTTAAAAGCTCTTGATCTCACTCTTTTTTTTCCCAAAATCGAGAATGTTCTCATCTTTTCTAAAAGCCAAAATCCATGCTCGTTTTGTTGAAAGAATATTTAGATTTTGAAAGTAATTTAAAAAATTTTAATATTAATAAAGCCAAGTTGAATGATTTTTTTTGAAAACTTTAAAGTTTCGAAAGATTTGGAAATTTGAATCGAATCAGTCGCTAAATAAGAAAATTTATTTATTTTATTGAAACACTTTCAATAGAGTTGTTCACTTATATTCTAAGACTTTAGTCGATTCTAGATTTAAATTAATCTGAAACTTTTAGGTCTTTTCCCGAGTGCGGCGAGTCTCTCAATGCCGGTCAATCCGGGCAGTCCCACAACGAGCAATCTCAACAGTGATCAGGTTTGGAAAATTTTCTATAAAACATCAAAGTTGCAAAATTATACTTTACATAAAAGTTTTACCTTCGGCTTGAACTAAAAGGCTTGAGTTAAAAGGCTTGACCCAAAAGGCTTGACTTAAAAGGCTTGACCTAAAAGGCTTGAGTTAAAAGGCTTGACCCAAAAGGCTTGACCTAAAAGGCTTGAGTTAAAAGGCTTGACCCAAAAGGCTTGACTTAAAAGGCTTGAGCCCAAAAGGCTTGACCTAAAAGGCTTGACCTAAAAGTTTGACCTTGTGTACCTTTGACCCTGCTTTTCTAACCCAATCTTGACTCCATTTGAGAAGCTAGATTCAGATTTTAGACAAACATTGGGCTAATTTTCTTCATCTTTACATTGTCATTTTGTTTTTTTTGCAATTTCTCATGAAATCAAGAAGATCGAATTGCTTTTCTTTCTTTTTTTCTTTTTTTTTCGTTTCCTGCTCGGCTACCGTATCATTGAGATGGGGAAAGGGAAAAGAAATAGAAAAATAGGGAAAACTCATTTAATTATTTTATATATTGATTAAATCTTTCTTTCAGCTTTAACACAAATAACTTTATTCAATCGAATAGAAAAATCAGAGATTCTTTAATTAATATAAAGCTTAGAGTAAAGATATTAATATAAAGCTTAGAGATAGTAAATCTCAATCTTTTCTCTCACTTACAGTATTCAGACTGAATATTTGTCGTAAAAATATTCATTCTATTTCTTTAGTATTTCTAGTTGAGTATTTCTTTCTCAGTTACCGTATCAGCGCACGAGACACCACTCAGAGAATAGAAATGATGCGGGGAAAGGAAAGGAAAGAAAGAAGGAAAGAAGGAAGAAGGAAGGAAAGAAGGAAAGAAGGAAAGAAGGAAAGAAGGAAAGAAGAGAAAGAAAGAAGAGAAAGAAAGGATGAAAGAAAGAAGAGAAATGTAAAGACAACTTCTTTCATTTCACTTTCATCTTTCTCTATCTTTTCTTTTCTTTTCTTTTCTTTTCTTTTCTTTTGAACTCATTGATCTTTCCCTATGATCTTCTACTTGAGAATCTCGGTCGTTTTGTTCCACAGTAAAAATCGCTCTTCAGAAAATCAATTGACACTTTTGTGTGAAGAATGTGGAAAACGGCTCAAGGTCAATATCGGGGAAAGAGATTTTTGTGATACTTTGGTGATACTGTCGCTTAGTTTTATAAAGTAATAACTTGAGTAACAAGAGAAATGTCATCCAGTACTCTAGTTGTTTTTTTTTCCTTTCCATTTGAGAAATAGGAATTCCTTCAATTCCCTTAATTTTCCCAAGCAATCGATTCATTTTTCTTGTGTTTGATGATTGAAAGATTGCAAAAAAAGCCTTTCACTCAATGAATTTTCTTTTTCGATAGCACCATTCAAATGCAAATTTTCGAAAAAAAGGATAGTTCTTGGAATTTGGGAGACAAATAAAAGAGGGAAAGATGGAAATTTCAGAATTAATCAAAAAGGAGGATTTTGTTTAAAACTTCAAAGTTTTCTCAACTTAACTTTATAAATATAGTAGGTAATCCCTCAATAGAACAATCTTTATAGAACTATAGAAGACTATAGAACAATATAGACAACTATAGACAACTATCGAAGACTCTTTCTCTTTTCTGAACTCTTCAAGATCGCATTTCAAATCAAATCAAGCCGTCCCCCTTAGCCGTTCTTTTGCTGAAACAAAGAGAACACTCTCATTGTTGAGAGTGTGAAAATTCACACTTGCTCATTCAAAATAACTGTGTCTATCAATGGATAACTTTAATCTATTTCTATTCAAAAGAATTCAAAAAAAGGCCACTAATTAGACTTTTTCTCAATGAAAAAAAGAAACTTTTAACGAACTTTTAATGTTTTTTTTTTTTTGAAACGAATCATTTCACTAATGATTTATATAATTTTTACTGTAAAAAGGGAAATTTGAGAAAGTGAAACTGAAAAATAACAAACACAAATTATTGGTCTCAATCAAAAATAGTCGGGAATTGGGGGCTTTCTGGTGTAGCTTGTTTTTGAGAATTTTTAAGGGTTTATATATCAATTTATATAAAATCTCAAATATTATATTACTTTTATGTTTTAAGTACATGATTTTGGGAAAGCTTATTTCACTGTTTGTGTCAAAGTAAGGTTTCTTTGTTTTTGAATAGCTAGGAAAAATGAGAGCTCTAGGTTCAGCTCTAAGTTTAGCTCTAAGTTCAGCTCTAAGTTCAGCTCTAAGCTTAGCTCTAAGCTCAGCTCTAAGCTTAGCTCTAAGCTCAGCTCTAAGCTCAGCTCTAAGCTCAGCTCTAAGCTCAGATGCTTGGAAACTTATGAGTTCATTGCTCTGATTTTGTCTTTAAATGCTTTAAATTAGAAATTTCTATAATAGCTAATGGATTAAGATAAATTCTCAATACTTACGAGATTCTAGGTAGCAAAGATGTGCGAACAGTTGGAAGCATCGGAAGATGTTGATCGATTGGCTCGTTTCCTTTTCTCTCTACCGCCCCTCCTTATTCAAGAGGTATTTAAAGACAAATTTTACAAGAAAATGAAGACTACTAGAATTGTTAGTACTAGCTAAATATTGTACTTGCAAATGTCTTTAAACAAGGTTTTTCCAGCTTCAATCTAATGAGGCTTATCTCCGCGCCAAGTGCCTCATATGTTTCCATATGGGTGAGTTAGTTTTTAAAGCTTCAAATTTTTCTAGACTTTTTATATTAGTTTCAAATATTTAGGTGATTTCCGGAATATGTATGCGATCATGGAAAATCACAAATTCAATCCAATCTACCATGGGAAATTGCAATCGATGTGGCAAGAAGCGCACTATCAAGAAGCTGAAAAGTTGAGAGGAAGGTGGGGCATTTATGCTTTAGAATCTGAAAACTAATAATAACTAATAGATAAATTTCGATTTGAACATTTTATAAGTGATCTAGCTATCGTTCTAAAGGCTGTACCCCTGTGATTTAAATCGGTTTCTTCTCTCAATCTTTCGGTCACCCATATTGCTTGACCGGGCAACATATGTTCCTTAAAAATTCTTGCACTTATCTAATAACCATGAAGGGTGATAGGAGTCAAAAGCGACATGAATGAAAGCAAATGTGTGCTAATTGAGAGCCGGCTTCGTTTTGAAAGAAAAGGGTGAAATTAGGGAGCGGTCGATGGATAAGAGTGACCCCTATTGAGCGGGTAGCGGGTCCATTTTCAACTCTTAGAAAGAACCGGGTTCTTTTCTTATCCTTTCAAAGACAAAGCTTATGTCTTTAAGCTTATAATGAGAGTGGATAAGACTCGAGTAAGTAAAGAGTAAAGAGTTGAATACACAAATAAAAATAGATGCTCTGATGATCTACAATTGAAATAACCATTTTGAAATCATAAACCTAGCATTTGATTGGATCTGATTCTATTCTGAAAGCTGAAACTGGCTTCCAGAGTAGTTTATAGTAGTAGATAGCTACTAGATAAGCTATAAAATCTTGATTTACTTACAAATTCTCTATTTAGACCCCTCGGTCCAGTGGATAAATACCGTGTGCGCAAGAAGTACCCAATGCCGAGAACGATCTGGGATGGAGAACAGAAAACTCACTGCTTTAAGGTTAGAAATCAACTCACAAGCTTAGAAAAAGTTATAGAAAAAGTTACTTTCCAGGAACGTACTCGAACCCTTTTGAGAGAATCTTATCTGAAAGATGCTTATCCATCTCCATCAAAGAAAAAGGAGCTAGCCAATGCGACTGGTCTAACTCCGATGCAAGTCGGGAATTGGTTCAAGAATCGAAGGCAAAGAGATCGAGCGGCTGTCGCGAAGAACAAGTGCGTTTCTGAACTCTAATAGTAGCTAATCCTATAGTAATCGAAGCTCGACCAAATGCACATACTTGCAAGCTTGTTTTCTCATTTTTCTTTGACTGAAATGATTCTAAAGTATGACAGAGGGTGTGCGGTACCTTATAGAGGGATTATGGGCAGAATCCACTGGTTTTCGGTGGATTTTACCTTAGAGAGGGATTTATCAGAGCATAGTACGTTTAGTAACTTTTGAACAAACCTTTGAACAAACCATTTGATCTTTTATCCCAAATATTCTTTTACACTAATATTGTTTTCTCTACTACAAGCCACCCAGTGATTTTCATCTCAATTTTTGACAAGAAAATAGAAAAAAAGGGAATAAGATGGCTAATTGAGACATTATCACCGGTAATTTGTAAAGCAAAATTCCTCAAAAAAAAAGTGAGAATGGAAAATAGAAGTTGGGAAAATGTTGGGGGGTTTTTTGTCATCAAGATTTCGAAGCTAAGAAGGCTAATTGTCCTGGTTTTAGTTTAGAATGAAAAATGGTAAATCAATAGAGCTTTCAGCCTTTATCAATCCGAAATCAATTTCCACCATTCAGCATTGATTTTTTTTTGTCTTAGCATCTTAGTAAGTAGCAATTAGTGAACAAGGACTAGAAATTTTTGACCAGAAGTGTCCCAAATTAGACTTGAAAAAGAGGGGCCAAAAAGAGGGGCCAAAAAGAAGCCAAAAAGAAGCCAAAAAGAGGCCAATAAATGACCGTATCGTATCGTAATTGATGGCTTGTAAAGGATGAGTGGTGACGTAGAAACGTATTTTTTTTTCACCAAGAAATTCAAGCATATTTTGAAGATTTTTAAGGGATTTTTGCATCAAAGCTAGAAAGTTTTTGTTTGTTTTTTGCTCAACGATCAAAACAGAAAAGCAGAGAGACGTTTGCAGCTTGATAAGTGGTAATTTTGCTTGAAATTTGTTAAACTTTAAAAACTATACGAATCAAAAATGCAATGAGACTCTAAATTATAGTTTTTTTTGAACAGATTTATGAACTTTAAACCGCTCAAATTGATATTTACAAATGGCAAAAATGAGTTAAAGTTCGACAAAACCTGAAATTGAATAACAATTCGGAAATTATGGATGATCAAATTGTTTACAATTTCAGGAACAATCTCATCGGCATCGAGCTGAAGAAAGCCGGCGGATTGGGACTCGAATCCGACTCCGACGGTGATGACAGCTTTATGGATGAGTGCAACACTGATAGCCCGTCACCCCACGATGAACCAAAGGTATCATTTTTGAGAGATCATTAAAAAGATCATTGAAATGATGAATAACTAAAGATTGGACATTTCAGGACCTCTCCTCCACCCCCTCCCGACCGGGTCTCACTCCATCGAGTCTCCATCCTCTTCTGATGTTCAACCCGGGTCTTCTCTCCCAATTGGGTATCGGTCTTCCCGGCCTAACTGGCTTACCCGGTCTACCCGGTTTACCCGGTCTTTCTCCATTTGCCCATCTCGCCTCTTTCAATCCCTTCTTGGCTCATCTAGCCACCCCACAGACTCCTCCATCACCCACAATGGTTTGTAAAATAGTGAATAGATCGAGAAATATATTGATAACTTGGTATGTAACTTTTCAAATGTGATCTCTTTCAGCCTTCACCAGCTCCTCCTAAGCGAAAGGGTCTCGGGATGAGCATTGATGCGATTTTGGGGAATCTCAAAGCCGAAGCGGTAAGTCTAAAAGTTAGAAAGAAATCTAAAAATTGCCGTTTCTTCTTCTTTCGTTTCTTTCCAAATTTAGAAAGAATTAAGTTAGATTTTGAAATCTTAAATAATTAACATTACAATCTACATTAGAAATACAGAACGCGATCATCGATCGCCTATAAGAATATATGCGATCGATGGTCGATCGATCGAGCTTTTTGAGCTTTTTGTAGAAACGATTTTGTAGAGGGATTGAAAGAGGCGAGATGGGCAACGTTTTAACAAACAGTTTTTCTTTTCGAAAGCGTTGATACAATGCTAAAGCTTTTAAAAAAACAGAGTTGTTTGCTAAAACGTAAGATTGACTTTTTTTTCTACAAAAGACCCATTTAGTTTCGGTAACAATATGTGAATAGTTGATTTTCAGGAAGAGAAAACCGAAGTTGGTTCCCCATCGGATTCTCCGTCAAAAGATGAGGCAGATTGCTCAAAAGGATCCGAATCAGCCACAGACACCGTTTCACCGGTCTCATTAAAAATGGCAAAGAAAGACCGAGACAGTGATGAGGACGCAAAAACAGAGACAACCGATAGTGAAGATCCGCATAATCTCTCGGTTTAGATGGTGAAGATGGATGAAGATGGATGAAGTCCGGTTGTAAGCAATCACTTGAATAGATCAAGCGTAGATCAAGGCTACTTTTGAGCCATCAAAAGTGACAATGAGAATTAGATTTAAACTCTGAGACTTCATCGATTTTCAGAACTTTTTGAGATTCTTAAAATCCCTCAATCCTCCCTATGAAAATTGCCGTATTTTGCCTCATTTACAAAGGCAAACTTTCATTGAGATACAAAAAATTGATACCGTAAATACTGTAATAGTACCCAACCCCCATAATGACAGTGCGGAGTGTTGGGTAGTCTAGCTTTGGACGCGCTTTTCTCGACACTGGTTTATGCTACAAAGCGCGCTTAGATATCAAAAAATAGCCCTGAATTTCAGCTATTTTTTGATATCAAAGACGCATTTTTTGAAAGTACGCGGGGGCTTTGAAAGAAATGAAATACTAAAAAACTTTTGCGACTACGCGACTGTGCGAGGGGGGTGAGGTACTATTACAGTAGTTACGGAAGGTTTATTTGCTTGTTTGACTACAAGACACCTACCGTAAATACTTTAATAGTACCCCACTCCCATAATGACGGTGCGGAGCGTTGCGTAGTCTAGCTTTGAACGAGTTTTTCTCGACACTGGTTTATGCTACAATGCGCGCTTAGTTATCAAAAAATAGCCCTGAATTTCAGCTATTTTTTGATACCAAAGACGCATTTTTTGAAAGGAAGGGCGCTATGAAAAAAATGAAATACTAAAAAACTTTTGCGACTACGCAATTGTACGCGACTGTACGCGACTACGCGACTGTACGAGGGGGAGGGTGGGGTACTATTACAGTATTTACGCTATTTAATCTTTTCTAATGAAAAATTCTGATAATATTTTGCCGTGAAACGTTCCAAATCTAAACACAAAACTACTTACCATTTGCATAGCTGAAATAGTCATTTTTTTTTTCTTCTTGTATTTCTTGTAGATCTTTTTCTTTTGCATAATTTTTTGCAAGTCAGGTTTATTTCTTCTTAGGTAATCTACACGCTATAGAAATGTGCCACAAATTGTGTAAAACAAAATCCTTTTTTCTTTTTATTCTTTTTCTTTTTATTCGTTTCCTTTGTAACTCTATAAAAAATGCCAAATGATTTTATGAAAGTAAAGCTCGGATTTTTGTGCTTAGGCTTGTGCTTTTTAAGTAAACGTGCGCCTTATGGCACACGCCTTGTGGCACACGCCTTGTGGCACACGCCTTGTGGCACACGCCTTGTGGCACACGCCTTGTGGCACACGCCTTGTGGCACACGCCTTGTGGCACACGCCTTGTGGCACACGCCTTGTGGCACACGCCTTGTGGCACACGCCTTGTGGCACACGCCTTGTGGCAGACGATTTACTACAAGTGAATTAGAAAAGAAAAGAATTAGAAAATCCAAAAGCTTGTTCTCACATGCACTTTGTATACTTTCTTTTTTCTCTCTTTTCCTTCAAAATTTCTCTTCTGAATCTCATTCGTTTTCTTCTCAAGCACAAAACATTTGTCACTCTCATTACCACTCGGTTTCATTTACTTCATTCATTTACTTTATTCATTTACTTCATTCATTTACATTTTTACTCGTTTCACTCATATTTTCTCCTCTTCTCATGTGTCAATAATGTTCAGAAATGTTCAGAAATGTTCAAAAATAAATTATTTGTCTATAAAAAAACGAATAAAATGCATAAAGTTTATAAATTTATAAGAGTTAACTTGAAATTAAGATTTGATTGTTGCTAAAGTGCTAAAAATGCTAAAACTGCTAAAAATTTAGCTTTTGAACGGGTAATTTAGAGATTCACTTTACAAATTGTTGGGTTTGAATTCTCCGAAAAAAAATATCTTAAAGTGTATAGAAAGAAAATTTTGTATAAACTTTAGCTTCAAAGGTCATTCAAAGGTCATCGTCATGGAGCAAATGATTTACTTAAGGGGAAATGAGACACATTTGTTATTTATATGTCGTAAGCCGTTTACGAAATTCAGCCGCTAACGAATGAGGGTATTTCCGGGCATCCAATCAAAAGATATGGTGGTTTAGACACTTTAGACACAAGGAAACCTATCTTGGTGTTAATAGATAAAAGATAGAGCACAAAAAGTTAGATCTATAAGCAAATTTTCAGAGAAATTGATACATCGAATCTTCTCATAGAGGTTTGCATATGTCGTAGCCGTTTACGAAATTCAGCCGCTAACGAATGAGGGTATTTCCGGGCATCCAATCAAAAAGTCACCCACATAAAAAATGTTCATAATACATATATTTTATAATAAATTTTTGAAATTAGCTCATTTGGTTCAGTAGAAAATTTTTTTTGAGCCTGCAAAGTTTAGGTTCAAAAATCCCCTAAAATGGCTATAAAAAAATTTCTACTCAGCCAAAAAAACTTGCCTAATAGCTCATTTTGTAGCCAATTTGATGTAGATTCTTAAAGAAAAACGCGTTCAAAGCTAGACTACTCAACACTCCGCACTGTCATTATGTGGTTGGGGTACTATTAAAGTATTTACGGTATGTATTGGTGAATTTAAAAAGCCGTCCTTTTTAGTTCACCATGCTCATTCAACCAAAAATGGGCAATAAGAGGAAAAAAAAAAAGGAAACAAATCGGTTGGGATCGGAGGTGTTAATTGTTGGATAGTTGTGGGTGGATTTGGATGTGATCGCATGACTGACATCGATCCTCTTTCACTCGAAACAATTTCAAACAACCTTGTGGAATCACTGCTCAAATTCCGAAAAAAGATTGCGTAATTGCGGAAGTGATTTCAGAATCAGAATCAAAAACAAATATATGAGACAAAAGAAAGAATTTGATTGAGGGCGGCGGGGTTGAACGCTTGATCTCGCGTCTAAGATACAGAGCTCCTAGTCAAAGCTCAGACAGCCATGGCGGCTTTATAGCTGAGTGCAGTTTGTTTCTTCCTGAAAGGAAGAAATTGTCGAAATTCTTTCTGAAAGATTTTTGCAAATTCAAAATGATATTCGAGAAAAGTTTACCCGATATTCTGCAAAAATTTGAAAATTGAGGGATGATCGGAATCGGGATTGTAAAATCTCAAAAATCAGCTTGTTTTGAGCTTTTTTGCCTCTCAAATGATACTGAAAGCTTAAAATTCATACAATGAACATAGAATGAAATCGGCTGAATCAATTTCTCTGAAAATTTATCTATCTACCTAACTTTTCATTCTTTACCTTTTGTCTCTTGACACCAAAATAGCTCTCTGTGAAAAAAGGGCCTCAAATCAGAACTTTTAGTTTCATCGTTTTTGACTCCTCGACTTCATAGCTTTAAAAAAAAAAATGAACTATCGCAAGCTTTTCAGAATTTTTTAAAGGACGATTTGTAAATAAATAATAGAAGTTTCTGTTAAAGCAAACTATAGATCGATTGTTTCATTATTCATTTCAAAAAGTAACCCTTAAAAAACCAAACAAGACTTTCCGGCCAACCTGATAGTACCTGTTAACACCAGTAGTACCTATTAGCACCAGTAGTACTTGTTAACACCAATAGTACCTGTTAACACCAGTAGTACCTGTTAGCACCAGGAGTACTTGTTAATACTAATAGTACCTGTTAACACCAGTAGTACCTGTTAACACCAATAGTACCTGTTAACACCAGTAGTACCTGTTTTAATTGATTCAAAACATATTTACTTTGGCTGTCATGCTTTATTTCAAAAAAGATACTTTTCCAAAGAGGCTCATTTTCAATTTTCAGTATATTCTGACTCAAAATTTTCTCCACGAAGCCTTTTTTCCTCTATCCTCCGGATTTTTTTGCCTCGATGACATTCAACTCTATTCATTTTATTCAAATCTTTTTTTTTCTTCCTTAATCCCTTATTTGTTTTTACCCGAAAATTCCTCAAAAATATGAGTTTCTTTTAAAAGAATTCTTTGAACTAAAGTATAAAGGCTAAAATGGGAAGTTGGGAAAATGAGTTGAAGTTTTTTCTTTGTACTAATGAGATCTCGTGATTGTAATCTTTGTCATTTCTGGGTTGAATTAATGAAAAAACTAGCGACAATGACTTATTGGGGTTATTTGGGTAAACTTGAAATATTTGAGATGAAATTATTGAGTTGCAATGGAATGCGGTGTTTCCTCTAAATAATGTAATCCAATAAAAAGCAAAAAAGCTATTTTACTTCACCAATTTCTTTACACACATCACACATACGCTGAAAAGCCAATTTAAACATCACTTTGGTGGGGGTGAAATTTCGTGAAAGGTGATAGATCAAAAAGAAATCTTTATGAAGTGTCTACTCTTGATTTCGAGATAAAGAAGTTTCCTCATCGTCGGAGAATTTCAGTTATCTAAATGTTTTCTAAAGTCTGCCTACTTTTGACTATCGTCATTTCGTTTAAACGTCTTTTTTTTAGGAATATATGGGCGGTGGTTTATTTGAATGTTCGATTGATTACATGCGAATGATGACACAAATCAATGCACATTTGAGACTGAGTACACAAGAAAGGAAAGAACTTTTCGATTCATCGAATGAGTCGCCAATGAATCGAGCACTTTCACAACAATTCCCAGTTGAGCACATGGTGCCCGTCGAATTGTCAGCGGTTGGTAAATGGGTTAGAGTTGAGAGGCATTTCCTTTTTTTATCACTAGCCAAATTGTTGCTGCGATTATTGGCTATTGTAATATTGGTTTAAGACTTTAAACTGCACAGTAAACCTTCCGTAAATACTGTAATAGTACCCCGCCCTCCCCCTCGTACAGTCGCGTAGTCGCAAAAGGTTTTTAGTATTTCATTTTTTCAAAGCGCCCGTACTTTCAAAAAATGTGCCTTTGGTATCAAAAAATAGCCCTGAATTTCAGCTATTTTTTTGATACCTAAGCGTGTAGCATAAACCAGGGTCGAGAAAAACGCCTTCAAAGCTAGACTACGCAACGCTCCGCACCGTCATTATGGGGTTGGGGTACTATTACAGTATTTATGGTAGGTGTCTTTGTTTTAATCCTTTGGTGATACTAAATCGTCACTTTACAATGCCAATTGAACGTCAATTAGAACTTTCAAGATTAGTCCAATTTTCTATTCAATCATTCACACAAACAATATGTTTAAATAAGAGTTTTCGAAAGTTTTCCCCATAAAAATCAACTTTAAAAAAAAAAGATATGTGAAGGGGAGTGACCTGAAATTAATCCCCATAATTTGAAAAGAACTCTCATAATCCCATTGGACTCTTCGTTTTTCGATAGGAAAATCCTCCACCCGCCCTTACCAAAATAATTGAAGTCGAATTCGAAATAGAAATTCACTTATCAAAGATCTCATTTTTTTGAGAAATTTTCAACACTCTAGTTTTTCTGTTTATTTTGTGTAATATGAGAGTGATTTCTCGGAAATGAGGTGAATTTTGGTTCCATTCTGGCGACGTTTTGTTTTGCGCTGAAAAAAAAAGTTTATCATAGAAAAAGTTGTGATAAAAATTCTACAATAAAATTTCACATTTAATGAACAAATTGGTTGTGCTGTAGCTGTCTGTAGCTGTAGCTGTCTGTAGCTGTAGCTGTCTGTAGCTGTAGCTGTCTGTAGCTGTAGCTGTCTTTAGCTGTACCTGTCTGTAGCTGTAGCTGTCTGTACCTGTAGCTGTGTTCTAGGAATCTCTTTACTATCTTAAAAAGTGTTCAATTCAAGACTTTATTGTTTAACTTTAGTCTAGGATCGATGATTTTTCTTTGCTTTCTTTTCGAGAAGTCTTGTCTAAAGCTGCCCCTTGTTTTTCGAACTTTCCTTTTCATTTTCATTTTCATCTTTCACATTTTTCCATTCGTTTTGTATTCGAGAAATCTGAATTTTTAAGGTGAATCTTTTAAGATATTCAGTGAACGGAATGTTTTGAGAGGAAAGGTGACGGGATCATGACTTTTTTATCATTAAAACGATTCACTTTTTGGAAAAATCAACTTGTTAACTTAAAACCAAGTTAACTTTGCTTGATAAAACTATAGCCAAGTTAACTTGTTAGCTAGTTAGCTTGTTAACTTGTTAACTAGTTAACTAGTTAGGTTGTTAACTTGTTAACTAGCTAACTAGCTAACTTGTTAACTAGCTAACTAACTAACTTGTTAACTTGTTAACTTAGCTATTGGATAAAGCTCTTGGATTTGTAAACTTTGATTACAAATCCTATCAACTTTGCTGTTATCGTTAATCCAGTATTTGCTTCCTTGATTAAAGTTATTCCTTAAAAGTTGCCCTCCAATGGTAGTAATCCTTCAAAACTTTGGCCACTCACCCGGGAATAAACAAACTACCGTAACTTTAAGTATCCTTTAAAAATCCACAATCTATTGCCCAATATCTACACTCTCAAATTCTCATTTGTCAAGCAATTAGCTTAAAAACACGAGACAATCCACCTGTTTGAATAAAAAAGCTTAATGAATTCTATCAACAAAATGTGAATGGATCATTTGTGATTTCATTTCCCTTCTCCATTTCTTTTCTTTTCTTTTCTTTCCTTTTTGTTGATGTAAAGATTCTTTTTCTCTTTATCTTCCCTCATTGAATCGTCAATAATCGGATATTTTCCTCGTTTTCGAAATCTTTCCGCTTTCTTTCTTCTGAAAGTTCATGGTCTACGTAAAAATTTGGACGTGACTCATGAGATCTTATGATCAAAAAATTGGAGGCGGGAAGGGTTCGAAAGTTTTGACGCATTGTTTGACGGTGAACTCATTTGCATCTCCTGTTCGTTCAATGTCTTATCTTTTAGTCTTTTCTTATCTTAGTTTCTAAAAGCTGCTTTTAAAGGTAAAGCTAACACAGAGTTTAAACCTTAAACATTCAAAACACAGTCTTTTTTTGGGTTTCATTTCAACTTTCGTAAGCATCTTATATCATTTTTTATCAAAATGCAATCTCAGATTTGTTAGTGGAAGTGAATTTCGCTTTATGGAAGCTAATTGAAAACTCAAAATCTCAAAATCTCAAAATAGACTTAAAAATAGCCATTAAGCATTCCAAAATCTATTTCCAAGAATACTGCATCCATTCCCGATTCTCTGGGTTCCTGATTTCGAAAAAAAAAATCTTTTCAAATCGTTTCCTCAAAAATTCTGACGAACAAAAAAAGAGAGATGGGGGTTTTTTTTATTTTTTTGATTTCAATTCCTGTGAGAGACTCGAATTGTTAGTCAAAATTGAACGAAATTCATTTCAGAAAAAGATTTTTCTTCAAATTCTTTAGAAGAAAACATTCATTTAAAAAAAAACTTTGTCTTAAATTAAAACTTTCGGGATTAGGAGAAGAAATTACGTTTTGATGGAAATTGAGGATGATTAATTGTTCGCTATTTTGATGATGGAAACATTCCAAATAGATGAAAACATTCCAATAGATGGAAACATTCCAATCCAATCCAGAAGAGGCCATTTTTTTGTTGAGAGGAGAGGGTGGGGATGATCAAAAATGGAAAAGAGGGAATCATTGAGGAATTCACGAGATATCACGCGTCATTTTGATTTTGATCTTGATTATCTCTCTTCGATTTTGATCAAAAGCCGTCCAGCTCATTGTTAAGCTTTCTATTTTGACAATCTTATGTGTTATGCATGTTTTTAATGCTCTTATTTGTTCCCAGGATTTCTTACTTTTAGAGTTTTACAATAAGAATCAGTCTTTTTACAGTCTCTCTATTCTAATTCGTTTTTTTAAAACTTGTCAACTTGCTGTTTACCCTGTTTATTGTTCATTCAACTAAATCGAAATTTTTTGCTTTCTTTCAGAATCATTTAAGCAGACTTTTAAACAGGCTTTTAAACAGACTTTTAAACAGACTTTTAAGCAGACTTTTAAGCAGAAATTGGACTTGAATAAGACTTTTAAACTTTATAAATCTTAACTGAAAACATTGGCATTAACTTTCTTGCTCCAGATTGCTTTCAACTTTCACTAAACGTCTAAATGATAAATTCTTTGAGATATCGACTTTCGTCATTCAGCTCGAATGACGAACGTGATTTTTTAATCATTAAAACATCTCCATTTCTTGAAGCAAATACACATTGGTCAGTAGATTATGAATTGTAGAAAACTTAAGCATTGTTTCCTATCAAATTCGCCATCTAATTTCACATTATTTTCCAAAAAAAAAAAAGGATTTCCCATGTCTGATCGATTCTATGGCTTCTCTCTGTCTCAAGCTTGTCAAAAATTTTGTTTCCCAAAATAAGTTGAGAACTTTGGCGTTCAAGAGGTTTTTTTTTGTCTATTTGTTGAAGAAATTTTAAAGAAATCCCACAATTTTCACGTATTTCATTGTTTATCGAATGGGCATTCAAATTGAATCAAAGTTGGTTTTATTCTTCTTTTTCTTGATAAATGAATATAGATGAATCTTCTCTTATCCACCCTCTTTTCAAAAAAAAAATGGATAACATCCAGAATGAGATAGGAAAATTATAATAATTGAGTTCTTTGATGAATTTAGTTCCTAGAAAACAGTTTTGATCTAGGTTTTATAAGTAAGTAGTAGCCTTGGCCTTGGCTATAAGTAGCCTTGGCTTTTGGCTTGAGATTTATGATTAGATTTTGAATTTCTGATTTAAATGAAAGTATTAGACTAGAGGAAAGTGGCAGTAGAAGAATTGTAGAAGACTTAAGCATTGTTTTCTATTAGCTAGTCTTTAGCCGATACTTGTCTTTAGCCGTCAAGGGTAGAGACGATACCGATACCGTCTCTACCCTTGACACTAGTCATTTTGGGTCCACAAATCATCAAAAAACAACCATCCACTTTACCCAACTCAAGAGCTGATCTTGAGTTGGCTTATTTTTGAATTTCTTTTTGAATCTCTTTTTGTTTTGAGCTGTGGTATTGTTCTAGGTGAGGAGAGGAAGGGGAAAGCCTTGAGGCCAGCCTTGAGGACTCAGCTCATGTTACCCTTTCCCTTCTTTTAGTCGGAAATCTCCGAAATTAACGGTGACATTTTTGAGAATTCCCCCTTAGCCACCTGCATAAATTAGTTGATTCAAGTAGGTGGGTTGTCTGGAGATTTTTGAGACATTTTTTGTTTTAATTTTGTGAAAAACTGACTGTTTACAATGTTTCTATTAACTTTTTAAATATAAACTCATTTAATTCCTTTTAACTTTTTAAATATAAACTCGTTTACTCTCAAAATTCCTTTCAGAATGAATCTTCGAGATCTCTCCTCATTTCCCTGTTTACTCTCAATATTATTGCCCACAGTGCTCTCACAAGGAGTCACAAGTTCCGATGGATTCATTGAGAAGTTGTTAGCCGAAAATCGGAATCCATTACAGGTTAATTTTTTTTTAAAATTCCTGAAAAGGGTAATTGTATCAGAGAATTGAATATCTAATTGCTTGTTAATTGTTATTTTTTTTTTTAGGAATATATGGGCGGTGGTTTATTTGAATGTTCGATTGCTTACATGCGAATGATGACACAAATCAATGCACATTTGAGACTGAGTACACAAGAAAAGAAAGAACTTTTCGATTCATCGAATGAGTCGCCAATGAATCGAGCACTTTCACAACAATTCCCAGTTGAGCACATGGTGCCCGTCGAATTGTCAGCGGTTGGTAAATGGGTTAGAGTTGAGAGGCATTTCCTTTTTTTATCATTAGCCAAATTGTTGCTGCGATTATTGGCTATTGTAATATTGGTTTAAGACTTTAAACTGCACAGTAAACCTACCGTAAATACTGTAATAGTACCCCACCCCTCTCGTACAGTCGTGTATTCGCAAAAGTTTTTTTAGTATTTCATTTTTTCAAAGCGCCCGTACTTTCAAAGAATGTGTCTTTGGTATGCAAAAATAGCTCTGAATTTCAGCTATTTTTTGATACCTAAGCGCGCATTGTAGCATAAATCAGTGTCGAGAAAAGCGCAAGGCTAGACTACTCAACGCTCCGCACCGTCACTATGGGGGTGGGGTACTACAGTGTTTACGGTAGGTCTAATCTTTATCTCTGCATTATAGCCTCAATTCTTAACTTAACTTTTAGATTAATTTTAAAGTTAAAAACATCTTATCAAAGACTTTTTCAGAAATTGATGGACATAATGGACAGTTGTGATCGATTGCTTTTGCTGAAAATGGCCACAGTGAAAAGTGGAGGAGGGAATGAAGGAGAATTGAGCAAAGTCCATTTCAATACAATAAAAATTTTCAGTTTGATAATGTTTAATAAGTTGAAAAGGAATCAATTTTATCAAAAAACAAATAGCCAACTTTCAAGAGTAATCCTTTCAAAATTTCAGCTATTGCTCAAATTCCACGAGACAGCGCACACCGAGAAACGACGACGGTAAAGAAAACGCTTAAACGAAACGAATATCTTTTTTTGATGCTAAAAACTTAAAAAAACTAATTCTATATCTTATTTAAGTTTGAATTAGTCTCAAGAATCTTTCCATTTTCCAAGAAATCTTTCCAAGAAAAATCTTTTGCTTTGATCTCCCCGCGCAGTTACGTGTACCTGTCAAAAATCTGTTGTTCTGTTGTAGTTTAGTATTTTTTTTTGTTTTGTATTAAAACATTTGCATATCTTATTGTAATAAAAGCTTTTCTTTTGTTAAAAATGTTAAAGTTTAAAGAAAATTTGGTTTTAAACTTTTATTCAGAAAGGAGATCTCACCAAAAAGAGATGAGCAAAAGGAAAAGAAAAGAGCTTTTTAAAAAACAAATTGCAAAACAAATAGCACCATTTTTTGAAAAGGAAGAAGTCGAATTTTGATTGAAATTTTGAGTTTACTCATTGAATGCCGACTTTTTGCATGGTTTGTTGAATGACGACATCGATTACGGAATCGATTACGACCTGAAAATGGGATATGAGTGTAGAATGTTGTTAGAATCTTGTTCTCTTAGTCTTATCTTGCCTATCTTGCTAAAGTCGATAAATTTTGGCTGACTTGTTCCAGATAGCGACTCCAAGAACAACTCTACTGATTAAACAGTGTAGCTTATTGGCTTTTTTTGACAGATCAGACCTTTACAATAAGACTGGATAAGGGTTTATCGGTTTCTGGTAGACATGGGCGCTACAAACTACAAGATCGGACTATATAGACACTTGTAAAAACGTGTGGAGTGATCATTTTAAAAAACTCTTTTTACCAAAAAATTGAAGCTAACTTTAGGCTTTTGAATGACACCAAGATCTGACCAATCCACCATCCAACAACGTGCTATTTATAGCGGTTTGTAGTCTCGTCCTATGGGACTACAACCTGGACTACTACAAACCTGGAAAAAAACTTTAGATTTCAGCGTAGAGATGGTGGATTGACCCGATCTTGGTGTCATGCGAAAACCCAAATTTGGCCCTATTTTTTGCTAATAACAGTTTTTAAAAATAGTCATTCTACGCGTTTTTACAAGTGTTTGTAGTCTGAGCTTGTAGTTTGTAGCGTCGATATCTATACTGTTGCATTGCATACCTGAATTTGTCGTGTATCCGTGGCGCAAGTCTCATGCGTGTAAATCGTCCGTTTCGGATTTTTGTTTTGCTGTCGAAACTTCTTTGTGATATAGTCAAGCACCGGACGGTACTCCATTGCGCCTAAAATTAAACTGTTGATAAGTTGGACAGGATAATTATGGGTTCGAGTTGGGAATACAAAACATGGTCGGCGCCAGGACTTCTCGCTCACCGGGCAAACTTTCTACCAATGAGCTACACCGACACGTATCCCATTGCCGCCAGGGTAGAGCCTTATGTCTTACTGATAGAGTACTAACCTTTATATCTCGGCAACGCGATACTGATAGGGAAAATCTTAATCTTCTCCTCGAAAAGATCGATTTTATTGAGGAAAAGGATCATCGCCGTTTCGGCAAACCATTGATTATTGCAGATTTGATTGAAAAGCTCGATTGAGTCACGCATTCGATTCTGGAAAGATTGTGGATTGTGTGGATTGTTTTGTGCTGTATTAGAACAATTCATTGGCTTATTTTTAGGCATTTCAGTCAATTCAACTGTATTCAGCTGTAAAACACGATCTAATAACAACCACGGTCTAATACCAATGTGAGAGTTGTTTTTTAGCTCAAGAATTTCTAGGTTTAATTGCAAATACGAATGAAATTCCGTAACTCTTTCCACTTCACTGACCGTTTTCGAGTCCTCCAATAGCATTTGATTATATTCAGAAAGTGATGTGATGAAAAGTACGGCGTGCACGTCATCAAAGATATGAATCCATTTCCTCCGTTGAGCTTTTTGTCCACCCACGTCGAAAACCCTGTGAAATTCGAGAAGTAAAGAAACGAAAAAGAAATAACACGGGAAATAGACTAGATTTTTGGATGCTTTCATAAAGAAAAAATATTAAGGTGTCCGGAAGGGAGTGGGACAAATGCGACCTTTGTCCCACTCCCATAAAAACAAAATGTCCGGAATGAAAACACCCTCAATTTCGATTGCAATTTTTTCAGTGTAGCGAACAGCTTCGCGTCTGATTTTTGTTTTGTTTTAAAGTTATATATCTTTTCTAATTCTATGTTTTTATAAAAATTTACTGACTGTGGCGAATTGCCAACGGCCGAAACTTTACTTTTTTTGAATTTTTTTTTTTAAAAAATTTTCACAGGCTAACTGAAAGAAACCGATCTTTATAACTTTGATGAACAAATTATTTGACCTTAAAAAAGGTGGTAAATCTGTCTCTCTGTGGCGGCCCTGCTCTGCAGTTAGTCAAAATTCAAAGTTGGTGGATAAACTACCGTAATCAGCCACTACACGATATTCAGTTGTTCGTTTGTCGTAGCTTGTGTACTTAAAAACCCATTATTTAAGCTTGTCTTGAGGCAGTTGTGTGCGTACAGTCCACATCTGGCACCCTTAGACTACCACTTACCCCCCCCGACGCCCCCAGCAGTTTTGTCTCTTGGTTTTGCTTTTTTCAACACTTTCCCTTCTTTCATTCCTCGGGGCCCTTTTTTTCCCCCCCCCGACGACCCCACTATTGGGGGGCCCCCTATTAGAGGGGCCCCACTAAATAAATCGGTATTTCGATCTATGCAGCACTTCCTGACCGATCAACACTTCAAGGATCACGACGAAATCCGAATTTGGGTTGTTCAACTTCGACTCGCAGCCTCAGGATTTCTTCAGCAAAGGGATCCGAGATTTGAAAGAAAAATGGAGAAAGACTATTGCCAACAACGGAGAATATCTTTTGGATTGGATATTTTTTGGATTTTAGATGTGCATCTTTTTCATTTAGATTAAAGCGTATTGTTTTCTTTTTGTGGAGATAAATTTGTTTTTCATTAAAAGGGTATTTTCATCCCAGAGAACCTAATCGAATTGATAGGGGCAATCCCATACTCCTCTAAAACCTACCAAAAACTCTTACCTAAACACAAAATTCTTGATTAGAAACGTGAACTGAATGACTCCCGTTGTCGGCACTCGACTTTTCAAGATGTCTTCAGTTGTCGGAATGTAATCGTGTTCTCGTATTCGTTCCAGATTTTGCATGAAACTGAAAATAAATAGTTGAAGAAAAGTCTGGAAAATTTGGAAAATCTAGAAATGGAAAAATGGAAAGAGTTTTTTCACTCACTAAATAGCCGCATCATCAATAGAGATCTCGGGGACTCGATAAAGAGCTTTTTGCACTGATGGATCCATCAACAACCTGTAAATGGAAGATTTTAAAGAAAAAAAAATTCCTTCTGTCAATCTTGGTTTTACATTGGATACAGTAAAGTCCCTTTAGTTGTCTAATCCATTCAAATGCACTCAACCTCCCAATCCAGTCACCGAGATGACTCGTGATCTCGATCAACTCATTGTTTTTATTCTCCTCATAATATATACAAATTTGTTGAGCTAGCTCCTGAAAGCTTAATGAAAGAGGTTCTATTTTTCGTAGAACTCACAAAAGTTTCGGGCATTTGATAGGCTAATCGTTGCACCTCCATCGCTTTCACCAAATCGACACAACCAGAGACGAGATTCTGGAGAAAGAAAGAAAATTTTCAGATTTAAATTTCAGATTCAAATTTCAGATTTCAGATAAAGATAAAAATGATTATCATTTTCGGAAAAACTCTTTCATTTAAGCTTACCTGATAAATGATAAACTTTCGAGCCAACTTCTCCGAATCGGAGAAACCCTGATCGTGGATAATTCTGAAAAATGCAGATAGATATACGGACTAAATTAGATAGAACTTAAGAAAGAACTTAGAAAGATAACGATAACTTAAGAAAGATAACCAAATATGCGCAAGATAACGTACTTTTAAATACAGAAAGACATGTTTTAAAAGCTTTTCTCATAACAATAAGTTTAGCAACGATTGTTTATATCCGAACAACCTAATAGATAGAACTTAAGAAAGCTTCAAATTATTGAAAATAACTATTTTATAACTATTTTTTTAAAGCTATCCTTTGCACAGAACTTGGTATTTAATTGATATTTAAACTTAAAGTCAACTCACCGAATCTGTTTCAATGTCGTGCTCTTCCCGGACTCGCCAGGACCTAAAAATGACTTTTGTTTACTTAGACAAGTACGAAAACCACAAATTCTCTTGTTTTTACAGAGAAAATTCTTAAAAAGCATGCATTAACAATCTTTGACCCACCCAATAACAATAATTTGAGTACTTTCTTCTTCCTTTCCGCGATAATTTCCTTTTCAATTGCCTTGTTTTTCTCGATTTGTGCCGGATCCGCCTGCAAAGAAAAAAATTAAGGAAATCGGGTAGACTATTGATTAAATGAATGAAGAGTTTGGTCGTCAATTACTGTGCAAAATTCTATCAATAAAGCACTAGAAGTGGAGTGGCTATGATTCATGAAGGTTTTGCGCTTTCTCTTTACAAGGCAATGGTTAGCTTTATAAAGAAACGAATTGCATTTACTGAAAAATTTTGTTCTAGATTTGACTGATTTTTGATGTTAAAAGACTTTGGAGATTTTCAAATTAAATCCAAAATCATTTAGCTGGCTAAATATCTTTTAACTATTTACCGTAAATACTGTAATAGTACCCCACTCCCATAATGACGGTGCGGAGTGTTGCGTAGTCTAGCTTTGAAGGCGTTTTTCTCGACACTGGTTTATGCTACAATGCACGCTTAGGTATCAAAAAATAGCTGAAATTCAGGGCTATTTTTTGATACCAAAGACGCATTTTTTTGAAAGTACGGGTGCTTTGAAAAAAATGAAATACTAAAAAACATTTGCGACTACGCGACTGTACGAGGGAGCTGGGGTACTATTACAGTATTTACGGTATAAACTTTTTCAATCAACTCACCTTTACTCCGGCATTAGTGGAACAGGCAGATCCCATCACCGACTATCCGGAGAATCATTCAGATTGATATTGCGCAAAAAAAAAGAAAAGAAAGAATTGGTGAAGGGATTGTTGAAGAAACTAAATGTTAAGATTAATGAGCAAAATAAAACAAAAAACAAAAACTTGAATCAAGATTTGGAATAAGCTTTAGTTTACAAGGCAATCAGCTGAAAGATACACTGAAATCAATCAGCTGAAAGTAAGTTTTCAATTCTCTATTCATTATCCAACCAACTAGTAACTGTTTATTTTGAAAACACCAAAGCAAATTTACCCGTTTGATTGGTGAGGGAGAGGGATTTGAAGAGAAATCGCTGTCTGTCTCACTCACAAAAAAATCCCCTGGGGAAAAGACGCGTGCACAGAAAGAATTCAAGAATCCCTCTAAAATTGTGGCTGATTTTTGAGGTAAATGGAGTAAACAAAGAGAACGATTTGATCTTGAAAAATCGAGTTTAGTTTTTCAATGTTTTAAATGTGAAAAAAAAAAAGGAAATGGTTTTTCGGAATGGGAAAAGTTCTTGGAAAGTTTGTTCACTTCTGAAACAGGTGTTTTAACGCTTATTATAAAAGATAATAAAAATCTAATCAAATATCAGACAATCAAGGCATTGAGAAGGAATTCTGGTTGTACTTTGTGTTTCGAGTGAAATGCTTACTTTCTGGCATGAATCTATGATCCAAAGCGTGAAGCTTATTTGTGAGTTCAAAGTACGAGAACTTGTAAGAACTTGTACTTTGATAAATGCTTTCTTTCTAACACATTAGATGTCTCATAGACTCAAGGATTTTCGAAAACTATCAATTCATCAGATATCTATTAATACTGAGCGAGAATCTACTCTTGAATGTTTGAAATTTTCAATTTTTCAATTTCGAATGTTTACTCTCAAAGACATTAATTTTTTCCGATAGAATAATGACATTTTGAAAGGAGGTCGGGAGCTTTAAGTGGGTTTTCCAAACACTTTTTTTGTATGAAATTTGGCCAATGTTTGGCCAATTTGGCCTTTTCAGTGAATGAACTAATAAATTTGAAAAGGGGGAATGGGGTCCAGAGAATTTGACCTTCAGATATAAGTACAGGAAATCGGAAAGGGAATATCCAAAGTAGGCCAAAGTGGAGGTGGAGCTATTTTGAGGGGATCATTGCATAGATTTTGAAGAACAAAATGATATCAAGGTAAGGAAAATAAAGGAAATTGACAAAGAAAGGTTGGGCAAGGAAAAATTGGAACGGTATTTGAACCGTATTGGATCTAAAAAGAACCGGATTGGAACCGTATTGGAACCGTATTGGATCTAAACAGAACCGTATTGGATCTAAACAGAACCGTATTGCATCTAAACAGAACCGTATTGGATCTAAACAGAACCGTATTGCATCTAAACAGAACCGTATTGGATCTAAACAGAACCGTATTGCATCTAAAAAGAACCGTATTGGAACCGTATTGGAATCGAGATTATTGATGGTAGAGTGATGAAACACTGAATTGCGGAGGCCATACTTCGATCGGCCATATGCTTGACTTCTAATTAGGCAAAAACATTGATGTGGAGACGCTCGGAACACACATTATTACTAGAAAGTGTTCCTCGCAAGAAATAGTGTGAAATAGAAAAAGGGGTACAGTTGAAATGAACTGAGTATCTTGCAAATTGTAGAGGATATTCAAGATATTCAGTTGATTTCTATTGTAATCCGTTTCCTATTTCACACAATTTCTTGAGAGGAAAACCCTCTAATCATTACCATAACTTCTTTGAAGAAAACGTGAAAAAACTCAGCTTCAAGCTTGTAATAAGCTTCGTTTGTCAATAGGGAATATGCTGAAAAAAAGTTTGGACATCAAATTCATAATCGAGCTTTGAACACTAACTTTTTCTAGTCAGCTGGACATTATTGCAAATTTACTCAAGTAAAAATGGGAGATTAGTTTGATGAAATTTCCTTTGTCGGATACAAATCTCCGAGACGTAAAGAGCGAGAGCTTTACGCGGAATTCTCGCCGTCTCCAATTCATTCAGCTGTTTTGTATTGGAGAAACGAGAAGGAGAAGGGCTGCCCTTGGCAACAAATTTTGATATTTCAAGAAGAAGAAAAACGGGAATACAAAAGATATGGCTAATGAAGGGGAAAATGACAAAAAGCTGGGTGTGATCAACGCAGATTTCTATCATATTTCGCCGATGAAATGAGAAATTGTTTGGGAATTCGAAGAAAGTGAGTCAAGTCATCAACTCATTTCAAAGGTTCACACGGAGTTACAAAAAAAAAGAAATTATAGAAGAAGGGAACAACACTTTATTCTCGTCAGAAATGGGATCTAAGTAACACTTGTTGATTCAAGTTGATTAACAACGATACTTGTTGATTCAAGTTGAGCAGGCAAGCAAAAAAAGAGAGGTTTTAAATGAACTTCTGAATACTTGACAGGGTATTTGATGAATAGACAACTTTTCAGTAGACAAAGATTAACTCCTCAATTCCACTTAGATAGACACTAAAATTGTAATTTATGAGCTAACTACAGCTCTCAGCTGAACCACAGCTCTCAGCTGAACCACCGCTTCTCAGCTGAACCACCGCTTCTCAGCTTGCTACGTGTTTTCCGAAAGCAGACACGAGACATTCATTCAATCTCATGATTCAAGCCGATTCTCTTCAAATAGTTTAATTAAAAGGCAAAACAAAGAAGAGAAAGATCTCATTGAGCTGAGCAATTGTTTGCATCATTTAAAGATTAAGGAGAAAGAGCTAAACAGGGTTAATCGTTAAAACCTCTTTGCATAAATGTCATAAAAGTATCTACTTTTAAATGCAATGGAAAAACAGTAAAACTATCAAAGAAAACAACAGCCAAAGACTCATCGCAAATCGACTAACTAGATCTTTGAGATTTGTCGAACTTGATTACTGGATTGCTCATTGTTCAACTGAATTCAACTGAATGAGACTATCGTTATTGTAAAAGGATTCAAAACCAAATCAATAACAAGAAGAATTAACTTTTGCAAAAAGAATTTAAAGAAAAATCTGAAATAAATAGTCGATTTGTGCCGGTCTAACGAAAGCAAAGTGGAAAGGAAAAAGAAAGGAAAACTGATGAAGTCGCCAATTATTTTCTCGTTTCCTTTTTCTAATTTTCCGATTTTCCGATGAAATTTTTGAGTTGTTTGGCCAAATTTCACCTGGAGGCGTTTTGGAAATTTCAAAAGAGGGGAAAGAAAAGTGAAAAGAAAAGTGATGAGGGGTTTTGAAAAAGCCCATTTCACCATTTCAAATGAACAAACAGATGAGACATTGGGGGTTGATGAATGAATCAGCTTCTAGGATTTAGCTTGCTGATCCATTTGAGAGGTAGGAGTTAGACCAAAATCCACCCGATCAAGTGTCAGTGCAATTTCTGAATGAATACTTTAAAGTCCGTGTCTCTGTTCATTGTTAAAAATTAAGAACTGCTATTAATTTTGTCAGCTATGGACAGGGTGACCGATAATTATAGACGCATTGGCTTGTTATCTAGTATCATTAACTATCTCGATCTATTTTCGCTGGGCACAAAAGCATTTCAAAAATCAAAATTTCAACATCCCAACAAAACGGGACTCCGATTTTTGCAAAGTAAAGTTTCCCGATTTCATCTCTTTTTCTGAATGGCCCAGCTCACCGGATTTCAATCCTTATTTTGTCTTGTCCGTCCTTGAAGCCAAAGCCTGCTCAAAACCGCATAAAAAATGTTGAAAATTTAAAGAAAAGTCTTCTGAAAGCCTGGGATGAACTCGATGATGCTTACCGTATTTATTCCAATAGACGTGCACCCCCTAACCCCCTTGAAATATCGACTTTTTGAAACATGTTTTTAGCTAAAGTTGTAGATATGGGTCCAAATAAAAGTATTTTAGCATTGGCAGTAAAATTAGAAATGTGGTTTTTAAAAAAATTGAAAAATCATTTTTCGAAAGAAAATTCATGTGGGGGACCACATTCATTTTTTTGGAAAACTCTAAAAATCGATATTTCGAGGGGTTATGGAGTGCCCGTCTATTGGAATAAATACGGTAAGCATTATCAAGTTCATGGAGAAAATTATTTTACTTTTACACACGTTTTTAGTATTTTTTGGACGAAATCCTATCGTTTAAAATAGTTTTTAGCAATTTTTAAAATTTTGATTTATGTGGGGTATCGTTAACTATTCTTTTGGCCGACCAATTTTGAAAGGTTGAAAAATAGACGGGCATGCGCGTCTATTGGAATAAAGTTACTAAAAGTTACTTGGAATAAAGTTACTTGAAATAAAGTTACTTGGAATAAAGTTACGGTACTTAGTTGCCACCGTGGACGCCTTTCCTAAACGCTTGACAGCCTTTCCGGATAAAAAATGGTGATCGCTTTGAATTTATTCATTTATTTATTGTTCATTCATATCAAATAAAGATTTTAAAACAAAAGTTTACTCTTTAAAGTTGAATTTTGTCCAACTACAAAGCCCTTTTATGTGCACGTATTAATTATGGGTCACCCTGTATTCTCCCTCATTTTTCTGATGATTCGTGAAACGTGCATGCTCGAGGTACATCTTAGCAACTCGTTTAAAGACTGAGCAACTGAAACGACTTTATTTGATTGACTCAGGTACTTTCGTTAAAATGTGTGCACATTTTCAAGAAGCTTTCGATTTTGAAGACACTAAAAAAATCGATTCCCGTCGCCGAAATGCCAATCAAACTTTGAAGAGGCTGTAATTAAGGGAACTTTCCAAAACGACCTAGTACTTTAGCACTTGAGAACTCCAAGACGACTCCTTTTCTTCAAGTGATGCATCTTTTGAATCATTTTTGCTTGCAAGACTACACAAAAGAGCCGAGTTCAAATCTGAACTTGGGTAACTGAACCAATTTTATCTGATTAATCCCAAATGGTGCTTTGTTGAGATGATATTGTGAGCATTGGGTCATCTATTTGAACTAACAAGGGAAGGTCGCAA